AAAACGTTTTCCAATTTTAATTCTTGTACTCTTTCAATTAACTTTGTATATTTGTCACTAATTTCTTTAACTTGGTCTATAATGTTAAATTTTGATATCAACTTATTGGACAAAGCAGAGTAAATTAGTTAACCATCCAGATCTAAGTTCACATATCAATAATCCTATAGTTTATTTAATAAATAAACTTTAAGAATTATTAATATTTTTTTTTTTACAATACTTTCTAAATACAATGAATGTATAAATTACTGAGTGAAATTCTATTTGCTAGGGCTTCTCAAAATTCGGATTAGAAAACAAAAAAGTAAATTCACACCCTTAATCCTTCACAGATTACAAAACGGCAAGCTAGATACCTCTTTCCCTTTCTGTATATATCATATCTTTATAAGATAATGTATAGGCTGCTATATATAATTTTCGCTTTTCATCTTCATTTAATTGATGAAACTTAGGATAGAATTCATAATTTTTACTTTCATCAAAAAATAACCTAAGAAAATCATAAGAACAATATGTTAATTTATTATTCAGTATTAGGTTTAGATAATATAATACATACCATTTAAGAATTTTGTTGTATTTAAACAAATTTTGAATCTTCAAATTTTTCAGATACGATGGTTTCTTGTGAAGATAATGAGAAAACTATATTATAAAGTCCTAAATTAAGAATTAAATCAATAGCGCAAGTGGGATTATATTCTAAAATATAACCCATAAAAGTAAGATTTTAATTCAAACATACAAGGATATATCATAAATAATAACTGAATTTAAATTTTTGATCATTTTATCAATCTCTAATCCAATTCTTCCTCAACTTATTTTCTCATTTAATACTATCTTTTGAAATATTAAATTGTTAATATGCAATCACAAACAAATAATTTGCTACCATTGATTACATTTATACATTCTTACTTTAATATTATCATTTTTTATAATGGCATCCTTCATATCATCAAAAATCTCAAATTGAAATCTGCTTGCGAATCTTATATATATTAATACTCAAAGTAGATCATCTTTAAATGTTTCATAAGCAGAAAGTGGGATGTGAATAATCCTTCTTTCATATCTGACTTGCCCTTTCAAAAAAAAAATTCTAAGGCTTCGTGTTAAATTTAAAAAAAAATCTACCTTTATATATATATATTATAAAATAATGCGTTTATTATTATATTTCTACTATAAGCATCTTCTTTGGGTATATCAAAGTCCTTTTTAGAAAGATAAGATAAGATGAATTTTGGTTTAGCTTCCATTTGAATAAGAAACAATGCAAGAATATTTATTCAACACATGAATTTATGGTTTATTTCAATTACTCTAATTAGAATTCTAAGCCTCTTTAACTTAAAAAGTATATTTCAAATTAACTATACACAGCATATTCAGATTAATATTCTTAAAATATAATAAATATAAATGATATTTAATGATAAACCTAAAGAAGATTTGGAAAAACTTTTCCATTTTATTCATTATCTTATCATTCATTTTTTCAATAAAATCTGGATCATATATTGATAGATCAAGGTTCATTCTACTTACTTGTACTTGTATTTAAATTTCTTGATGGTTAATAATCAACACAAAAATGATAAATCAAATGAATCAACTGAAATTCTTACAATTTTTATAATTATAAATAATTTCATAAACAATATTTCATATGGAATATAAAAAGAAAGATAAATTAGTTTTATAACTCATTTCGCAAAGAATATATTTAATTTTCATTTACCTTCTTGTTCATGTAGTTTTCAAGTTTCGCTTAAATAATTACAAATAATGTTAAAAATAGCACTTATTCACCTATAACGATAAAAAAAAAAAAGAAAAGTGCTTATTATAATCATATTAATAATAAAAGCATTTCCTTATTTGAATTATAAAATTTTAAACTATCTTTTCGTGTTATCCATTTTTTTATACTAGTTTTCATATCTATACACTTTTTAACAAATTTTTTTCTCACTTCTTTGGCACTTATTTTGTTGATAAGAAATTGCGTGAATAGATCGTTAGCAATAATGATTGGATATCAAAATATCTAAATCTCAGATTTATTAATTATTTTTTAGTTTTACAATAATGTCACTTTGGATTTTCATTGATATTCTCTTCAATAGTTCAAAATGGATTTAGTAATTACGTTAAAGTTCACATCAATGATAATATAGTTGTATCACATTTTCTTTCAACTACAGTTTAGTTCATTTTAAAATAAATCTCTTCGTTCTAAAAGCAATGCACACTTTACTAGTAATGAGAAAAATAGTAGCATTCTATTTTCAATTTTTCAGATATACTCAAAATAATAAATTTCTAACGATTAACTATAATACATTTTTTCAATCACATCTTAGACAAAAACAATGACTTATACATATACTATTATATCTATCATTAAAACGTCAACAGACAGCAAATAGTATTTAAGTAAGTAGAATGAGAATTTATTCATTTTTTAACATTTTTATTTATAAGTTTATTATTCATCATGATAATTGGATTATTAGAGGATATCATTTTTATATTGAATATTTTCTATATCCAATACCTACAAAATTATCACGTTCAGTGAGAGATTGTCTAAGAGAATCACAAAAATATTGCATAAAGCAGAAATTTATTTAAGACAAGCATTACAAAATATATTTGAATGGGATAAATTAGATCTAAACGATCAAATTATTATTGATATTCTAAAATTCTTGGGGGATAATTATGTATGAAGAAGAAATTTAAAAGATGCAATCTTACAATACAGATAAATATTGGAATTATTATTACAACATCCATCGAGGGAAGGAAAAAAATTTGAGCAAGGTGATTGATATTGCAAAAAAATTGAAAGATTTATATATTAGAAAATAGGACTTCTGATTGTGATAATTGGAACTTTGTCATGATAATTACTAAGTTTACTTATATTAAAATGGCCAAAGTGTACATGATTACACTTATGTTACTTAGAAGAATTATTCTCAAAGTGTACAATACAGTTATCTTAATATGATATCTTCGTAATCTACCCTATTAGAATTCAAGATTATATTACAGCAGAAAATATCTTGTATAGGCAATTGGGTTATTATAAGGAAATGTTATTGAATTATTAAATAAAGATGATGAAGTATTAGAAAATACCTTAATATTTACGAGTACTTTATAATTAACAAAGATTTTATATTGATCACAGATTTACTTGCAAGCTTATATGCAAAACAAAGAAAATATGATTATGCTTTACCACTTTATTTAAGTTTATTAAAAATGATACAAGAGAAAGAAAGTTTGAAATTAAAATGTTGGAAAGCTATAATTAATGGTCGCATAGGAGAAATTTTTTTGATGAAGCTTTGGGTTGGCTACAAAAAGGTTTATCTATAGCTAAAAATGGTGATAAGAACAGAGATTGTGATGAATGCGCAGGTGTTATTCTTAATAATCTTAGATTAATACATGAAAGAAGAGAAAATAATGAATTAGCTGTTTCTTTGTATAATAATGCTATAGAATTTGCTGAAAAAGCACTAGATTTTATTGGTATTAAAGATTTTACCAGAAACTTGAATCGTGTGCGAATACGAGAAGAAAATTCTGAGCAAGTTTCAATGAAACAATATAAATAAACCATGTAACAAATGTCCTACTATAAATAAAAACATGTGCATTTCCATTAATAGAATGGGGAAAAAATATATTAAGGGTTTAATCTCAGAACATTTTGGATCATATGTTTACTCGCTGGTTTAAATTATTAGTTATTACCAAATCCGTACATTACGTTATGCTAAAGGATGATGGATTCCAATTACCAATGTATACATACAGTACATCCAATATGATATGTTTTGTTTTTTATTCTCCAAGCCAAAATCCAAAATTGACAACAATAGCAATTATAAAGTGTATAACCTTTAGATCACATTAATTGTCATTTTCGTATTTTCTATTTATAAGTAGATGACAAAAAATAAATAAGACTCTATAATAGACTTCCTTTTAAATTTTGCATTTGAAAACTTTATTAGCAAATATAACATGGTTAAGTACAATTTAGAAATTAAAAATTATGAATATTTTTTTTTTTTTTTATCATCATCGAAAGAAATATCATGTCGCCTTTAATAATTTCACGTTTTCTTCAAGCTTATAAAAATTTCTAACTTTGAAAGCATTATTAGTAATTTTGCACTTACAGTATAAGGAATGACCTTTGATACGTGAATTTAACGATTTAATCATGTGATTAGTAGTGGGAAGAAAATTCATTACATAATATTACCATTATACAGTCCGTTATTTGTTGAAAGGTTTCTCGCGAACCTTGAGTTTATGCGAACATATTAAATTTTTCTTAAAAAGGAGGTATTGAGAAGCTTAGAAAGTTGAAAGTTTGAAATTCACATCTTGAATATTTCATTTCGTCTCGTAATGATCAGAAATGACTCACATTTTTCGTTTAGAATTTTTATCTACATATCGGACACTCTATCCTCGAAAATCAAGTTAAATTATTCTCATTTACAAAACCAAACCCGGTTTCAAGCCGATTAAATAAAAGCGAAAATAATTCATCATTATAAAATAACATTTGTTTAAAAGATGATTTCTTTGCAATTAGAAAATTTTAGTTGGAGTATTCGATTTAAGATGATAAATGCAAAAATCAAAAGTTTAGGAGAAACTCAAAACTTGTATTATAATATATAACTTTTTATCTCATTTTTAGCGATAAAAAAAAAAGATCAAAACATATAAACGACATGGCACGAAAGAAAAATAATATGTTTATTGTCGCTGTTATTTCCTTATTTCTTCTTTTTACGCTCTGTCATTCATTTTTTATAATCCCTCTCAACTCGTTAAATATCTTCAATTTCTAAACATACAGTATCAAGCGCCATTGAGTTACTTTACTCTATAGTTAACTATCGCAATATGTTACAATTAGATCATCATGTGTTCACCTTTTAGACAATTAACCTTTTTTTTTTACATTTACGCAAAATTTCGCTTTAAAAATAAGTTTTTAAAGATCTTCTTACAAGTGGATACAAATATACAACTTTAACAACAAAAATATATGTAATTTTATGTGAGGAAGAAGATTCTCTTAGGT